AAATAAATGCAATTCGTTGAGTATTATAATCTCAATCCAGATCACACATTGAAAAACCGAAAGATACAGTCAGTTCATTCTGTGAATATTAAATCAAAGCTTTTCACTTTTTCTTGTCGGAGTTTGTTTCGTCAGTTATTCTCAGACAATAGTATCAAATTTGGAATTGGACGGTAGCTAGGGGTAAATAAATAAGTCCGATGTGTTATCGCGTATGTGTTATATAGTCGCGATCGTTGTTGTTAAGCAACTTTCGCAAGGGTCGGTCACGGGATGGGTGACCAAAAAATTATTATCTGATGATGATGATATGTAAACATCAACCGAATTGCCCTGCTGACCGAACGTTCCGAATTTCACGTAGCGAAAGTTAAAGGCAGCAGAGTCGTAAAAGAACAGAGTCCCTGTTCTTTAAAAAAAAAAGGTTCTTTTTTAAAAAGGACTTTTATAAATTTGACGTAATAATCTTTGGTGTTAATGTAAAGGATAGTGAGTACCCATTATTTTTGCCCTAAGTGGCTACCTACATACGACCCTGTCTAAGATTATCAGAGATAACTTTGTTACGGAGAACGCTCTCAGTATAGCGTTAAATATTTTTATTTATATTCCTTATCCCAGATGCTTAGATACGGAATTGAGAATTTATATACCGCTAAAATTTTGCCTATTCGCATCTCTGTAACATACATCCTATACCTATAAAGAAAAAAAAATAGATTTTTTTATTTATATCCATTTAATCTCTTTGTACATATGCTGCTTTTTGCGGACAATATTATTTTGACGGAAATAAAGGATAATTAATTTCCATATAATAATATTGAACTATTTTTAAGTAAAAATAATACGCAAAGTCCGCCCCACAGAACATAGGTCCGCCCCTATTATAAAGTTACTAATAGTAAACTTTAAAGTTACTAAGAGTATAGTGTAAGACATATTGTATTCTACAGTTGATTTTTCTTTAGCATTTTGATTAACCTGTATTAATATTATAATACAAAAATAATTAAGTATGCATGTACAGTCAACAGAACGTCAGAATATACAAAATTAATTGAAGAAATTTGACATATTGTAGTAGCATTTTAGTAGCGACGTGCAGTCATGTGTAAATAAAACAAATGCATAAATAACCAACCCAATTAATGATTATCAATATAATTATCACATGTGACTGAATACTTCATAGCTTATTTTAATACCTTGAAGTTGATTGAATCGTGGAACTAATAGCAGACTGCATTGTGTCTCTTACCTATATTTTGGTTTTTCGCTCCGAGCACTCTATATTGACACCTTTATTTAATTGTGACAGTTTTATCTGCACTAAAATAACTTCTTTAAATCGATATTCTATCTGATTCCGGATTGTAACGTATCGAGTAGTAGTTGAATTACATAAAATTTTAAAAGTTATTAAAACTCACGTGTGAATGTTTTAGATATTCAAAAACTGCCTATTTATATTCATAGAGGCTATTCTCATTAAAAATATACAATTGATAAAAACTAAATTTTGTACACATAGATACATTAAACGATCTTTAACTCGATAAGGTTGCGTTATTTAATTAGAAAGTTCCAATTGCCACTTTTTAGTTCTATAATCAGTCTGGATAATTACCTTGGACCAAATTTGTCGAAATGGGGCTGCTTTGTTTAATTATAGAGGTGTCCCACATGGCTATTATATCACTCCATCTCATATCTGGGGGCACGGAAGTGTCTCCGCCAAATCGAGCAAAAAAGTGCAAAAAGCCATGGCTATACTATCCTTTTCTCGAAGCTATTCGGGCCATTTTTGACGCCCCGTAACTTCGTTGTGGAGTAAACTAGAAGCCTAAATTTTCAGTGATCAAGAGGCATGATATAACACATATAGCAGACCCACGGGCTCGAAATTTTGAAAGTAAGGGAAATATGTAACATTAGGAAATATTCGTGCCATTTTTTGGATTTTTGTAATAAATATAACTGTAGAGTATTTTGAAAACATCCATCAATGTGTTGCTTAGTAACATAAACCAAAGAGAATTAACACTACGTGATACGAATATTTACCAAATAGTAAATAAAACATTCGTAACTAAAATCTATGATAAAAGTAAATATTACTCGTACCATTCGAAAAACTTCGGAAAAGCTATTTGCATTTGGACTTAATTATGCATACCATAGATATATAAATATATATGGAGTTGACCAAGGAACAATGAATGTCCACAAACGAAATCAAATGAACTTCGTTAATATAGCCATGGGTGGCCATAAGTATAATGATCGATACATAAAGTCAAGGGCTAAATTGATTCTTCAGTATTTACATTAACGTTCCAGATATAATACTCGAAAATAAAAAAGGAGAACCTATAAAAAGAAACGAGGTCTGAGGAATACGATTCTTCTGACGTAAAAAGTTATGAAATCAACGCAAAACCCCTAAATCTATGACAATATTGGATAACTGTTCTCATAGACACTGTATTAATCGACTTGGTTTATGTTGATTCCAAACTTTTTACGGCAAAAGAATTACATTGTGAGACTTGTTAATTTTTGTACATGTTATGTTTTTAATGATTAAATCGAAGCAATGATATCGAGTTTTGTTTAAAAGAGATATCTTCTAGAGATTCTTTCGCAATGCAAAATATGCACGTAGATAAGAAAAAGAATTTACGATTTATTACGAAAGTTATATTAGAAAAAGTTGTGACATCATACTACAACTTTTGTAATAAAAGACTTGTGTTTGCAAATCCAAAGAAAGTATATTTTGAAGGACATTCATATCGTTTATGCAAATAGGCTCTATAGCGCAGTGGTTAGTGCGTTTGGTCTACAATTTTCACAAAGGCGTGACCAAAATTTGATTGTATCCACGCCTTCAATGCAATAATGGCTCATTTAGGTGAAGGTATCGTGAGGCATGTTAATTTAATGGTCACGGCTGCTTCTTCAAACATCATCATCATTACCAGCCCAATAATATCAAAATTGCTGAAACTCATGTCTGCTCAGGATGGGCAGAATTGAACCATAGTGCGAATTGGATATTAACAACTGCAAATTGCAGCTGAGACCAATGGATTTACATGCCTTCCGGAGCACGGTATAGATCGATATGATGCTACATTTGTGGTTACTCATCTTGTGACCGACCTTTGCGAAAGTAGCCTAACCTAAACACTGTGCTGTCTAACTTCTGCAATCAATAACACCCAATCCACATGAAGTCCACTTAGATGTTATTCTTTAATCTCAAACGAAAACCTGCACCAAAATCTAGCTAGACAAACTAGTCAGAGCCAAGTACAATATTTAATCCAAACACGTTCTATCGATTATATCTTCTGGCTGCAGAAATATTTTCGTTTCAAATTAGTTCTTTTAAATTTTTCATAATAAACACGTCGGCTATAGTAGCACGACTGGACAGCCCGGATGAATATGAAAAAATGTTAATGAAATCTGTCGCAGTCATTGCTTGTTAATTTTTAATTTTACACGATATTTTACAGTATGACGGCCAACCAAAGAAATGAACACATTTATTGTAATAATAAGTATTATATTTTTAGATGCGTCATATAATTTTAAATTTAGATGTTATTACAAATAGGAAAAGTTCAAATGTAATATTAAAATACAGGGTGAATTTTTAATCAGTATACAACTTTTTGTTGTAGTACTATTTTATAAATCAAAATAATATCATTGACGTGCATGTCAATTTTCTTTTGTAAAAAAAAATCAATTGAACTTTGTAAATGGAATATTTTTGCACTTCGTGTTTATTTTTAAAGCTACACTCGCACTGTTATTATTTTTGCCATCATGAGTTATTGTTTCTGTCACAATGACAAAGGATAACTCATGAAGGCATTTCTATGGAAGTCGACTATCTCGATTAACAAGAATGGTGACAGAAGTCAAAATGTCACCAGTTGCGCGTAGCCTGGATATAAAGAAGTAGCATAGATCCTTGGTTAATATTATATTAATTTCTTGTTATACTTATCACATTAAAAGCAAAATGTGTTTGTTATGAAGATTAACTTGTTTAATATTTACGTATATAGATTAATATAAAAAGGAAGTTTCTTTGATTGTTGAATAGGTAAGGAGTGGGAGGAATTATATTCGTACTTACTGCATTAATTTCATAAATTTTCTTACATTTTTATAACGCAATTTATTATCTTCCAATGTGAAAGGAAACTGGTATTCAGCGCTACTAATGAATAGCTTTTTATGAGAAAATATCTAAAATTCTTTAAACATTATTGGTTATTTTTCCAATACTTTAGAAGAAAATACTTTGTACGTAGAAAATTTTTATTTATCACTTTTTATTTATTGTCTACAAAGCTGCATCATTGGTCCTTAAGGCCCACATATGCACGAGAATTCTGTGTTACATGCCATAAGGCTCGTATTCGTGAGTTATTTTCACTTGATGAAAATTCTTGCTTTTGGAATATTTTTTTTATAACTCATTCAATCGGGACATGGGGTCATTTACTTTACAAGCGGAATGCGGACGTGTTGTGGTTTATTTTTATTGTTTTGTCAAATGAAATGGTCGTACGGAAATCGCCTGCTCTTATGGGGTCTGTCCAGGTCTGTTTACCCTTATTAAAGTGAACGTGCATATGTCAGCATGCATGTACCGGCCGCACAACATGTAATGCATTGCACGGATTTGTCGATGTCATACGTCCAGTGCAGTCTCAATTTTCATAGATGATTCTATGAAAAATACGAGGGTCAGTTTTGACGTCAGAGTTATGGTAATGACGTCATAGTATTTTTAATGTAATCCGTTACGAGTCGTGCTGACATATGGACATTTACGTAAATGAGCCATTATTGCACGATGATAAATATTAATGCTTCTTACTCTTGTCTTTCTATAGTTACTATACCCCTCTATATGTATATCGTATTGACCGACGAAAATAAGTACTTAATGCAATTTTTTCTTATTTTAGACGTTTCTCCATTATGCCGGGTGCTCGCGTCGAAGACAACGCGGATACAGCGAGAAGCCGACGCGTTTCCATAGCACCAAAGACACAACAACCTACCAGGATAGCAAGGAAACCGCAAAAAGTTTTGGGTTTCCAAAACTTTGACTATTGATCATTTTATTAAACAAAAACTTTTTTATAAATTCTTTATATTTTATTGAATTATATTGTATTCATTTCTTTAAACATGTAAATTAAAATATGAGATTAAATGAAATTTATTCATTCAGTTACTTTCATCTTCATTAGCCTGTGCTCCCCCACTGCCGAGGTACAGGTCTTCTTTTAGGGATTCGAATAGGGCCAGAAGGTCATGACTCATCACGCGGCCTTAGTGAGGATTGGTGGTTATTGACGACTGTCGATGCAGCTGGGATCAACAGCTCAACGTGCCTTGCAAAGCACATAGGTGCTCAGATATTTTTTTTTGTCACCCATCCTAAAACTGGCCATTGTGAAAGTTGATTAATAACCGTATCGCAAACGTGCCAATTAATAGTCATCGTTACCACAATATGTCAAATTTCCACATTTGATTTTGAACTCTACTTTATGTGACAAGGTTTCTTCTTCTTCTTAACTTTAATGGCACTTTGCTTCACCACAATACTGCCAACTCCACGAAGGAGACGAAAATTTGAGTCTGACGTGCTGTTGACTGGTAGGGAAAAAAATTAGCCGATTGAATAGTGCTTGTATGTAACAAACTTATTTGATAAAGTATTTCTCATTATTCATTTTTTCATTTTTCGTTACTATGGGCACTTTCTATATTATTTTGACGTTGGGGATTTTTATTAAATTCGGAAAAAAATGTCAATCCTAAAATTTTACAACAAAGTAATATAAACAATATATGTATGAATATAGTATTTATAAACGGTAACATCATCATCATTAGTCCATTTTACGTCCCCACTGCAAGCGTGCATGCTTTCTTATGAATGGTAAAGTAGGACGGTTAAGGAAACAGTAATTTAAGTAAACACTTATATTTTCACAATATATTATCTACAGCTTTTGCCTTGTATATTTACGATTGCTGCGTTAATTTTTTTCGATCTAATTTTATTTTCTATGCATAAAATACCAATAACATTGTTTAATATTATAATGTTGTTGATTAATGGTTTTCCCTGTTAAACCTGCATATATATTAATATATTCATTAAACATTGTGTTAGGAAATAAATAATAGTAAAAATCCCTACAGTTATAATAATAAGATATGATCTTTACTTTTAAGTTCACTCTGTGATTCTAAATTGTTTAGTCAAAAAATATAGGTATAAATACTATTATAAATGTAAATCTATTGAAATATTATCACATTAATTAAGCTCGTAAAATTATAAATTTTGTAAGAATATATGATTAATAATCTCAATTAATTTCCGTCTAATCTTTATCACGCGCTCGTTCGTTTGTGTCATGAGAGCAAGGCACTATCTTTTCAGGTTCTGTGTCAAGATTTCAGGAAAGAAAACGAAAGATAATCTTTGGGGTTAAATGCAATTATACAACGTGTCCCAAAATTCAACGATAAGCGTGCGCCAAGAGGTAGACCTGCTCATGTGTACTTATGGAAAAATAAGAAAAAAATTATATCTTATTAATCTTTTTTATTATAAAATAAAATTTGAAAATTCTCGAAAGAGTTGTAGCGAATAGTAGTGCTACTTAGGTACCCGATACCAAAAAAAGATTGAACATAATTGAGAAGTTGTGGTCGTGGTAGTTGAAAATATCATAAAAGGTGTAAATTTTCGAAGATTTTCGAATTTAATTTTATAATAAAAAAGATTAGATATAATTTTTTTCTTATTTTTCCATAAGTACACATGAGCAAGGGTACCTCTTGGCACCCGCTTATCGTTGAATTTTGGGACACGTTGTATATAGATCAAGAACCTTAAAATAATCATTGTGCCGTCTCGTTGTTATTAATAAACGGTAAAAGTCATACAGCGTTTCATTGCTGAGAAAAGTAACACGATAATACTATTTTTGTAGGACAAAAAGGTTGAGCACGTCAGTATTTTGTCCAAAGAGAATAATTCCTTAGCGTAATTTATATTTTAAATCCATTGTATCATTGTCTATTAGTTCTGGTTCGCGGAGATAGTTCATAAATAAATTCTTGACTGTAATTCAATTTGTCTTAACTAAAGCCTACAAGTTTGCCTGACAAAGTCGACTCAGCGCTACCGACGGATGTCAATTACGTGTGGGTTTCAAAGGAAAGTTTTATTATCAGGACCTGGTTCATAGCAGGAGGGGGGGAACTCCCCTAAATCATCCACAATCCCCGCACGACAAGAAACACGCAATTAACTTCCTGCTACACTCACAATAACGTCAAGTACAACATATGAGGTAAAGTTAGAGATATTTATTTATAAATACTGTGAAAGTGACTAGTCGCGGATGTTATTTATTGTATTACTAGCTTTTGCCCGTGATCTGTTCTGCATAGATAAATACTTTCAGTAACCTATATTTATCCCCATACTTTCAGTTTTTCATCTAGACCCAGCGAAATTCGTACCGCCTTATACCCGTTTAAAAAAATCTTATACACAAACCATGTCATGAATCGTATAACACATAAAAAAATAGATTCATTCAATTTGGCGCAGTCGGAACTTGAATTCGGAAGTTATGCGGCGATTCGTTTTTATTCATCGATATTTAATAGCTCGCCCGGACATTTTTTATTTTCCGATATTAATTTTTTTGATATAGTGTAAACAAATTTGATATACATTACATGCATAACGCGTCTAAATTATTTATTTGAATAAGGATCAATACTGTATTTTAAAAATAGTTTGTAAATAACCCATCATTTTACTGTTTTAAGTATACGCAAAAAATGGTTACTGTGGGTTATCCTTGGTATATAGACATATACCACCGCAAACTTTTTTGTGGATCCATTAAAGAGGTACAATTGCACCCTACAATGTTTTGTTATAACTCAAAAGTTTTTGGCAGCGTTTTCGAGGAAAGCTTCCGGTCGGCTTTATTTTTTCTGACATATTGAACTAATATCGTTAGTTTGTAATCTTGTGATAGGGTAAAGAGTGAAAGCGAAAGATGCGTATAAATACTTGCCTTGTGGGGCCTGTCCCACTTTGCCTATTCATCGAGGGATACAAAATATAGATATCGAGCCTATTAATATCCTCACTGCTGAGGGAATAGGCCTTCCCTATAGACGGAATCGAGTAAGGAGAACCCATCACGCAGGCTTAACGACTGCAGATGCTTCTACCGTTTAAAGTGACTTAACTATCGCACCAAAAAACGTGCCAATCACTGCGCCATCAAGTTACTAACGAAGTAAAGATACAATTAATATGTGCATAAATTAAAGTTCATTTTCATGGCTGACTGTAACGTGTCACAATATGCCACCGCAACTCAGACAGGTGTTACTTAACTAATATACCTACGTATAGTTTGTATTTCCGGCACTTTTACTTACCTACTAGAGTTACATCATATCAAGTTTATTTATGGCATACAATTATAACCGTTGCCAAGACTAACTTCCTTGTTATTTCGGAACAAAACTATCAGTATTTATACAAGCCTATTTTTAATTTGTTGTAACGAACAATACTTGATGGCTATATTTATAAAGCGATATTATGTTACTGTTAAATACTGCATCTGGCTGCCGCTCAGTTTGTGGATCCAATTACAACGCAAACTAGTGTTATCTGCTTGCGATGCATGAAACCACCGCCGTCACTATTTGCATTTAAATTAGACTCTGGAGATCTAAAATTTCAGCTTATATATTACCCTTATTGTAGCACTTAATTATTTTATTCTATATTAATAGTAGAAGTAGGATATATATTTTTCATTTTCTTTTTTTTTTGATTATCTGTAATGGAGTTTCCAGCATAATCGGACCGATTTTAAAAGAAAGCTTTTACCGAAATTAAGCTAGATTTTATACGGCAGCTAATCCGGTTTTGAACATATAGGGGCAATTTCATTTCGTCGCATCATTCTTCAGATATAAAAAAAACATGTTACACTTTTATCCAGCAGGCAACATTAGCACGTTCCAATTTTAGAACATTTTTTCCTCTTAAGATTATACTTAACGGTGGATCGCCATTCTTTTATTTGCGTAGGTAACGCGCACCGGTAGGTAAGGAAAACTTTATTTCAAATGCTTTGATATTTTAAAAATAACATGATTTTATGATTAAGAACCTTTTTGTTGTCATATGCTAAAGCAAAAATTATGATAAAATGATCGTATCTATCTGGGATCAATTGGATTGGCTATATTAATACCAATGTAAAATATAGTGTTCCCAAAGTTCTACGCTCTCCTAGGAATTAACTGCGAGCTAACGACGTGTATAAATAAATTTTGTTTAAATCGAATCGAAAACGGAACGAAACCGAACGAAACTACAACTTTTAGTGGTTTTCCTATTCTACTCGGTGTCAAAATGGCGTCAAACGATACAGTTCCGGTTCTATTTTAGTTTAGCTAACTATCGATCAACAGAAACTGTAAACGGTATTCTACTCGCTCAATCGAACATAGAACTATACAGATGTAGTTATGCAAACCGGAACCAACCCACAAATCTGTCAAAATCGAATTATGTGCAGAGAAGCCTAAAAGTGTTGCAATTAAACTCAAATGTTGTAAATTCACAAAATTTCTTGATAAATAAATAAAATAAAATATATTCTACAAACAATTATTACTAAAAACAAGAAACCCATTTTTCTCAAAACTGACATCATGTGGCTGGTTTGCATAACTACGTCCATATACTTGAGTCGATCGTCGGCCCTTATTCCACTAAAATTTTGACACTTCGTTGGATCGAAACGCTACTGAAACGTTACTAAATCCGAACGTTTCATCTGTCAAAATTAACGATTTCTAAAAAGTTGCAAATTTCTACTTTTTGACGATCGATAGTTAGCGTTTAATGATAGATGTGAAACAATTTATATTATTTAAAATTTTAAGAGGTGCAATTAGGTACCCCCAATTGCTGAGTGAAATAAAATACCTTGATCCATCTTCAGAATTGATAATTAAAAACATTTTGCCCTACAAAAGTA